GAAACTTAATATAAGATATCCCTTCAAGCTCAGAAGATTAAACTAGAACAATGGTTTAAAGAAAAAGATGACTAACAATATATGAAAGCTTATATATGAGATGTGCAACAATACGACAGACATGAGATGCTTCACGGCAAAGATAAATTAATAGACAAAGTCAATAAACTCTAGTAACTAAAGAAAGTAAGGAAGGGCAAACCATCATAAGGAGTATCTGGTGCTCGGCATACGCATTCTTTAATATCACTAGCAATTACCCTCTGTCATTCATAGAGCATCCGACTCAAAATTGAGCTAGCATTCAAGATAAGTGAGATTATTTATGATCAATAAAATACCTGTGAGTATAATTTGTAACTTTCAGTTGTATTAGGGAAATCAAGTTCCACAATCTACAACAGAGATAAATGAAATGTCAAAGAAATAATTGCCACAATCCAAAGATTTCTATTATTTTATAAAATGAATAGTTCAAAGGTAATGCCTGAAATTCTCCTGGTCGTATTTCCTTTCTCTTGAAAGAGTATCTTGGCATTATCTGAGAGCATAAAGGAAGGTAAATTTCAGCAGTTATACACAGTAAATTAGGGATATACTTTATCTGATAATTTCATTGATAAATGAAATGGCCACCAAATGTGGGTTACAAAATGGGCTGCCATTGAAAACAAAATAGGGATTTTATAGAATCAGAGTTATTGTCAACTGTACCTTGATACCTTTGCTCTCCAAACTTTTTAACAAACAATCAGTGAGATATTCTCCACCAACAGGAGAAGATACAACAGCCTGACATGAAAACATAAATCTGAAACATTAATCCTTTGATTGTCCCATATTTTCATAACTAGAGCATAAGACACATAAATAAATAAATAGTATTCAACCAAGATTATGCAAGTCATTTTATCCAGTTCAAAATACCTTTTGTAGAACATAGCCATCATGTACCGGGGCAACAGTTGTTGATCCACCGCCACTGCATATATCAATCATTTAAAAGCCAATTGCTCATAAGTCGCTTACAGCCAGAAAGCTTTCCCACTCTAACGTTATCATATATAATAACTCAACCTAAATGGAGTGGATGTTTGGTTATCCAATTAAAATTCAACCTAATCTCTATTGAGAGATATAAATATCCCATTAGTCTCGATAACCTTGAAAACTGAATCAACAAAAAACCCCTTATATGTTTCACTGTTTGTTTTACAAACTTGAACAAATTCCAGAATCAATTTGATTTTGACAGATAACTTTACCATACACTGAACCATTTTTTCCTTACGTTTTGAGGGGCGCTCTATCAAAATAATCAGCAAATAATTGAATTGATAAAAGAAATTCAAGAACTACTAAGAAGAAAATAACAGAGAAACTGATTAAATACAACATGTAGTTTTAAAATAATAACAATAAATTCTGAAGAAATTAGACCACTGAAGTAATTTTTATGCAAGCAACTAATATTACTCTAGCCTTGGCCTCCACAAGCTTCAAATCCAGTATAGTATCAGCTCATACCTGTCAACAACAAGTGATGTAGCACGACCTGATGCAAATGACGTGAGAACCTGGCGTTTAAAATTAATTGAGTGACTTTAAAAAATCAGAGAGTGACCAATCTATGTGGACATGGACAACAAAGCAATAAAAAAAAACAGTCTGAGCAGGGAAAACATACAGCATTTTTTGCCAAAAACAATGCAGGAACTTTGTACTTCTCGAACATAATCTCAGCCGTCCTGCCAGAAGTTTTTTTTGAAATTGATGCAACTCAGCATAAATCCCAAAAGACACAGAAAAAGGAGCTCGTGTGTGACTGATTACCTTTCTCTCTGTTGTTGTGAATTAGAAGATGGTTCAGCAAGTAGCATGGGATGTTCTTGAGCATCAATCAGCAGACATTCCCTGAAAGGATGCAAAGAAAATCATAAAAGTTATTACAAAGTCCACGTAAATTCTAAAAGTTTTCCCACAGTGCCTTTCATTTAAATATGAAAAAATTGGCCACAAAAAAATTCTTCCAAAACTTTCTAGAGGATGTGACTGACGTCACTAAACATATAATATGACAAAAATTCTTCCAACCATCAAGAAACAAAATTGCAATGGACAAAGAGGAGCATAACAAAAATTCCAAAAGAAATTATATCATGTCAGTAAGGCATGTGCAAAAATAACATTGATGCCATCCATTTACAAATTTCTGATATCTGTTATGTATTTAAACTTTTTGAAAAAGAAGAAAAAGATAAAAACACATTAGAGTATGGCACAGTTATCCCAGTTTTGGTCTTGATAAGATGAACAAATTGGTAAACCTAAAAATCACATGAGCAAGACAACAAAACATTCGTTATATTCCACATGAGCAAGTCAAAAGCTGTACATACTTCATAGCATTTAGAGGCCTGAAAACAAAGGGTATTACAACGATTGTGTCAATTACCTGAATGCATGATCCCATATGCTATCGACCATATCCCAGTCAACAACAACTCCATCCTTTATAGGTGAAAGTACCTATGAATAGCATAATTGATATAATTTTTTAGTTTTTTAGAAAATTTAGAATATGTACAGAAAGCTCCAAATAACCGTCAATGAAAGCAAACATACTTACCTCCATATTATCACGGCGGAACCCTAAAGCTTGAGAACCGACGTATAGTTTGCGTTTTCCCTTTCCTTTGTCAGTATCGAGACTTTTAGCATTACTTTTAGATTCTCCAGCAGATCCAGAATTCTTTTCGGTACTTGTGGTGTCATCAATATCCATTTCATCAATACATCCAACAACCTTAACAAACAAAGGTAAAGGGCTGAGACAGATGCAGCTTGATACATTTAATCATTATGGCAGAAATAGCAGCCTACGACCCGCATCATATAAACTGATCCATACATTGAAGTTTACATAAAAAATAGGGCTGTACACACTATCTCTCATACGGTCAATTATGGGCTTTCTTTCCCGTAAAATTATTCTACAACACTCCTCATGTTCGGTTCAGTTGATGCCAATTAAAAGTAGAAAAAATTCATGAACTCCTCTATTACCGCAACCAGGAACCGAATTCACAACTATAACGGATACCAATCTCAAATTCTCCTGATAATAACGTAACATTGTTACACTATCACAGGATTACATTGCCATCAGGTCTCCCAAACAAAGGAATATCTTAACACGAGAGTCTGAAATATGATGAAATTTACAACTCATAAGAAGCCAAATCTCTTATTTCTTAATAAGACTACCAATTACCAAAGTCAGAGAGGTAGGACTGGATTCTAGAACTCTCAGGTTTATTTACAGAACCTAGAAGACTTCAGAAATAACCACGAAAAATGTCAATAGCACCATCAATACTGGAGTTAAGAAGTTGAAACTGAAACGTGGTAGGCATTCCCATGTTCATAAAGAACCACATTGAGCACTTCACGTTTTCACTCGACATATAAACTGGGCGCAGGCATCGAATGCAGCTAGAAATTCTGAACAAAACACATCCAAAAGCTCAAAAACTTCAACGTTGCGAGCAGTTCAACAAATCTATCTCACTCTTACACAACAGTGGACACACGAGTAGTTGATACAATCAAGACCACGAGAATGTAGTCGTAGGCATGAGTAGTTAATATATACAGAAGAAGCTAAATGCAGGAATACTTACGGAGGGGAAAACAGCCTTGGGAGCATCTTCTCCGGCATAACCAGCTTTGCAAGTGTGAGAACCAAGGTCAATAACTATAGCGGATACCTCATCTGTTGAAAAATGAACAATGTAAGGGAATTAACGCCAGACAGAATTCATGGACAAACGCAGAAGAAGAGGGCAGAAAATTGGGTATACTCACCACCACCATACATGGCTGAAGTATTCAGTAGAGGAATGAGAATGATATTAGGGTTTTCGAGTCTTCCCCTAAAACCCAATTTTAGGGTTCGGGAACAGAGAACCGACTTCCGACGCCGAGCAAGATAGAACAACGACGAGATTTAAACCTCAACCAACAAATGATCACTATCTGCCTGCAATCGGCAGCTCTTAAATAATAATACACGACTAGGAAGAAAAATGAAAATGCTTTTACAACTAAACTTTCAGCACATAAATCCCACTTTACAATTATAAACGCTATTTACAAAAATAATTAAAAACAAATATGACGCCGTTGCCGGGGATCGAACCCGGGTCACCCGCGTTATTTACAAAAATAATTAAAAACAAATATGACGCCGTTGCCGGGGATCGAACCCGGGTCACCCGCGTGACAGGCGGGAATACTTAAAAACAAATATGACGCCGTTGCCGGGGATCGAACCCGGGTCACCCGCGTGACAGGCGGGAATACTTACCACTATACTACAACGACTTCTTTGTTACTGTTAACAGAATTTATTAAAATTTTATTTACAAAAATAATTAAAAACAAATATGACGCCGTTGCCGGGGATCGAACCCGGGTCACCCGCGTGACAGGCGGGAATACTTACCACTATACTACAACGACTTCTTTGTTACTGTTAACAGAATTTATTAAAATTTTATTTACAAAAATAATTAAAAACAAATATGACGCCGTTGCCGGGGATCGAACCCGGGTCACCCGCGTGACAGGCGGGAATACTTACCACTATACTACAACGACTTCTTTGTTACTGTTAACAGAATTTATTAAAATTTTATTTATAATAATAACTATTAAAGGAACAAAACATACGCCGTTGCCGGGGATCGAACCCGGGTCACCCGCGTGACAGGCGGGAATACTTACCACTATACTACAACGACTAATTGATGATTCAAACATATATAGTATGTATTTTTAATTTTTCATGACTTTCTGCTACTTTAACTGATTCTGTCCTTGGGCATCATGCAGTGGAGAAGACATGAGCCCAAAAGAAGGCATAGCTTGAGAGAAATAGGAAGATTTCATTCGAGGAATCAACATCATAAGCTTTAAGTTAAAAGGGAAGATTTGATTCATATTTTAAACTTTATACAATCTATAACATACTGATAGCAGTATGTAGCTAATTCATCAGGATTCATCCTCTCAACATCTTTGGCCGACTAACACTACTATCTAACACTCGGGCGCTTTCGATGTTTCCCGTTCCATAGGGTCCTTAAACTTAGCTTTCTTACTTAGCTCTTCAAAAGAGTCGACAACGTTTTGCAGCCTTGCAACAAATTCAATCAACAGGGAAGTAAACGTAGCTAACGACAATGCGCTCGCATTTTCGTATGTTTTCGATTCTTCTTCGTGGATTACTCCATTTGGTTTGTTTGAAACCTGTGCTGGCCATGACCCCAGTTTCTTGAACATTTTGTTCGTGGGGGGAAATGCAGCAGCTTGTACAGAGTTGATGTCTGATGGCATAGGGTCATTCCAAGTTTTAGGGACTGGGAAGGCCCTTAGATCAAGCACAGCTTCACTGAGGGACCTGTATTCATGAAACCTTGTTTCCTCATCGTCCAAGTTCAGCAATTCTTGGGACCGTCCTACGTCATCGTCGTCGTCGTGATGATTGCCAATTTCCCAGCTCTCTGAATTCACCAGAAGATAGGATTTTGCATCGATCTTCTTTTGCAGCTCTTCTGCAGCATCATGTACTTCAGAGAGTATGGCTGCTGAATCTAATGTCTCCATCTTCTTTAACTTGTTTCCAAGCTCGTGCAAGACTTTAGCGCCTTCGTAGCTTACCCTCCGGAGCTCGTTTCCGAATACATGTCGTCTTTCCGCTGGAGCCTGCACATCCAAAACCAATGGAGGGGAAAGTAAAACTATAGCACACAACTATTGTTTATACAAACAAATCTGAAAAACAGAACTTTTCAATAACAAATTTGATAACTTCCCAAATGGACAGATTAACAAAGATTCAGATCATTTAGTAAGTTTATGAATAGATATTGACAATGACTCAATGTGAATGTGAAGTTTGAGCATCAAAGCCAAAGTACCTGTATTTCTGATAGTATACATCCATGCAATCCCATGATAGCAAAGGCACAATGCCTCAGTGCACCAGCTACTTCAACATAGTTTTTCCATGGATATTTAAGCATTTTGTACCGACCGTGTGGCGGTTCCCAGATTGCAAATCCCATCTGTATTTGTGTTTGTTCTTATTTTTCTTGAAGGTGAAATAAAAAAAAACCAGCACAATGTCCATGAAACTCACCAGAGACTCCTCTTGACTCATAGACTCCATAGCTGACCTGTAGCCTTTGTACAAAGGATCATCAGATGCTTGGTAAGTAAGGATTTTCGAAGGTATTCGCTCGTACTCGACACAATTAAGGTAGCTATCAACACATCCTAAATGAAGGGAAAGTAGCTAAGCAGAAACGTTCGCAAGAGATTTGATATCATAAGTAAATTTAAGTAATGCAAGCAGCTAACCAACCTTCTAAGGATGCTGCAACGCCTGCAAAGTTTTTCACTACAAGATTGTGTAGATCCTCGCCAGCCCAAATGGGGTAAATGCATATGTTTACAACCAAACACACTCCAGCGCCAAGCGCAATGAGCAAGAATCTTGTGATGGCTGTATGGATAAAATCTCTAGTCCTATATCCCGACACCATTATGAAACAGTACGTTAACAAGAAGACCCGAAATCCATATTCATAAGGCTTCATTGTGGGATATAGCTTAGCATAAGTAGCAAAGAATCCTGCAAACATCATAAAGCCACTGTGAAAAATTGAAGTATGATATTGTCCACTTTCAGCATAAGCTCTCGTAGATTTACTTTTGGTTTCTCCAAAAGTCCTCGTAACAATGGAGATGTATTCTTTACTTATAAACCTATGAAATTCTACACTGGTTGGGGTGAAGAACGAAATACTTTTATAAAGGTGTGGAAATCTTCCCTGATAGACCTTTTTAAAAATCTTGAGGGAAAACTTGAAAGGTAAAGTCCAAAGAGGACAATATCTGCAAGGGGTAGGTCTGAGCCGTTACAAATGGTATCAGAGCCAGACACCAGGCGATGTGTCAGTGAGGAGGTTGTTCCCCCAAAGGGGAGTAGACATGAGGCGATGTGCTAATAACGATGCTAGGCCCCGAAGGAGGTGGATTTGGTGGGGGTCCCACAACACTGGGCGATGTGTCAACAAGGAGGTTGTTCCCCCGAAGGGGGTCGACATGAGGCGGTGTGCCAGTAAAAATGCTAGGCCCCAAATGGAGGTGGGTTTGGTGGGGTCCCACAACACCGGGCAATGTGCTAGCAAGGAGGCTGTTTCTCCAAAGGGGGTAGACACGAGGCAGTGTACCAGTGTAAGAATGCTGGCCCCGAAGGGGTGGATTTGGTGGGGTCCCACAACACCGGGCAATGTGCTAGCAAGGAGGCTGTTTCTCCAAAGGGGGTAGACACGAGGCAGTGTGCCAGTGTAAGAATGCTGGCCCCGAAGGGGTGGATTTGGTGGGGTCCCACATCGATGAGAGAAAGGAATGAGTGTCAGCGAGGAAGCTAGGCCCTGATGGGAGGTCGATTGTGAGATCCCACAATCCCACAATCCCACATTGGTTGGGGAGGAAAACAAAACACCCTTGATAAGGATGTGGAAACCATTCCCTAACGATCTTCCCGGGCGGTGGGTCTGGCCATTACAAAACCCATGATCTAGTGGACGTAGGACTTCTCTCCCAACAATCATGATATCAAATTATTAGAAAAACAGACCTGTGATGAAGATACTGATAGCAACCACAAGCTCTTCCCACTCTCCAGCAAGAACTGATAATCCAGCCATTCCCAATGCAAGACCTGCAGCTGAAAGCGTGCCCAATCCACGGTTCAATCCTTTGCTTAGCGTTGCTCCTACAGACAGAATCGTCATTTTGTTCCAATAAGCAAACAGATTGTGGCCGAAGAGCGCAAAGAACTACGTTTAGAGCATTGTCCGTCCCATGTCCGATTGACACCAAACTTGGCGAGCATTCATATTTCATATGGACGGACTTAACTCCCGAACCGCATGACCAAATTCCTTCCGGAACCTCGACTTTTGAGGTTAAGGCCCGGGGCCCTACCCGGCCCTTCAACAAGCCTATCTTGTCCTTCATGTCTATGCTGATGTCTCTGTTATGCTTGTGTCTCAACATGTCTTGGATCTATTAGTTAATCTTTTGCCAATATAAATAGAATATGTCCTCAATAGTGTGAGGCACAGTTTTGCATAAACTTGATATGGTATCAGAGCCGAAATAAGATCCACGAGATCCATAGCCTCTGCTGTTAGACATGTCAATCCCAAACAACACAATGTCTTCTCCGTCGATCAGTCAGGTGATTAGTGTTAAGCTTACACAAGAAAATTATCTACTGTGGTCTACCCAAATCCTTCCCTACTTGCGTAGCCAAAACCTTGTTGGTTTTGTGGATGGATCCATGCCTGCACCAAGCCAGACGATCGCCGTTGAACCAAGTGAAGAAACAGGGAATCGCAAAATTATCATCAACCCTGAGTTCACAGTCTGGTACCCCCAGGACCAGCTGGTACTCAGCCTCATCAACTCATCAGTCACTGAGGAGGTTCTCAGCACGATGGTTGGAATCACCACTGCACGAGAAGCCTGGATTACGCTGGAGCGACAATTTGCTTCCACATCTCGAGCAAGAGCAATGCAGATCCGTATGGAACTCTCTACTATCCAGAAAAAGGACATGACAATTGCTGACTACTTTCGTAAAGTAAAACATCTTGGTGATACACTTGCTGCCATTGGCAAGCGAATAGAGGATGAAGAACTCATCGCCTACATGCTGCAAGGACTTGGTCCAGATTATGATCCTCTAGTCACAAGCATTACAACCAGAACAGATGTATACACTGTCAGCGACGTGTATGCTCACATGCTGAGCTATGAGATGCGGCACTTGCGTAAGGGTACATTTGAGCAACTTTCATCTGCTAACAATGTCAATAGGATATCCATTCGTGGAGGTGCCAATGGAGGTCGAGGTAGTCGCGGTCGTAGTCGTCAGTTAAATAGTGGTCATGGACAATCAAGGCGTACTGTGAACAATCCTGGACGTCAACCATCAAAGACACAAAGCAGCTCAGGCATTGTCTGTCAGATTTGTGGTAAGCCCAATCACGATGCTTTGCAATGCTGGCACAGATTTGATCAGGCATATCAAGCCGAAAATAATCTCAAACAAGCAGCTTTGGCAACAAGTGGATACACTAGTGACACAAACTGGTATGTTGACACTGGAGCCACAGATCATATCACCAATGACCTAGAGAGGCTTACCACCAGAGAACGCTACACTGGCACCGACCAAATTCAGGTTGCAAATGGCGCAGGTTTGTCTATCTCTCATATTGGGAATTCATTAATTTCTGGTTCATCTCTTGTTCTGAAACATATCCTATATGTTCCTAAAATCAATAAGCACCTAATTTCAGTACAAAGACTAGCATCTGATAATAATGCTGTTGTAGAATTTCACCCAAACTATTTTTTGGTTAAGGACCGAGTCACGAAGAAACTCCTGCTCCACGGTAGATGTAAGAATGGCCTATACGTTCTACCGCATAATTTCAGTCAAGCCTTGCTGACAGCCAAACTTTCGAAAGAACAATGGCACAGAAGGCTAGGGCACCCTGCATCTCCAATTACCATTAGAATTCTACAAGATAATAATTTAGCTATAGATACTAATATTCCCTCTTCCTCAATTTGTAATGCTTGTCAATTAGGGAAAGCACATCAATTGCCATTTGGTTCTTCTCAGCATGTATCTACAGCACCCCTTCAATTAATTCACACTGATGTATGGGGTCCATCCATTGCGTCAGTAAATAATTCCAAATATTATGTTTCCTTTGTTGATGATTTTAGTCGTTATGTTTGGATTTACTTTCTGAGATGCAAATCTGATGTTGAGTCTGTGTTCCTTCAATTTCAAAAACATGTTGAAACTATGCTAAATACCAAAATTCGCTCCGTCCAATCAGATTGGGGGGGTGAATACCATCGGTTACACAATTATTTCAAATCCACAGGCATTGAACATCATATCTCCTGTCCTCACACACACCAGCAGAATGGGTTAGTCGAAAGAAAACACAGACACATTGTAGAAACTGGCCTTGCTTTACTCGCTCAAGCCAACATGCCTCTATCCTACTGGGATGAAGCTTTCAACACAGCTTGCTTTCTTATAAATAGAATGCCCAGCCGAACCATACAACAAGACACACCACTTCATAAATTGTTTGGTAAAAGTCCAGACTACTCCATGCTTAGGGTGTTTGGCTGTGCTTGCTGGCCTAATTTAAGGCCTTACAACAACAAGAAACTGAGTTTCAGAACTACTAGATGTATATTCTTGGGTTATAGTTCTTCTCATAAGGGATATAAATGCTTAAATAGAAGTACAGGACGTATTTACATCTCTAGAGACGTGGTTTTCGATGAAAATATTTTTCCTTTTGAAGAATCTAAGCCACCAAACAAAACCACAAATCCACATCATCCTGTTCTACTTCCAGCCTTAGCCAAACTTGCTAATTTTTACACTGAAAATGCTCTTACAGATATTGAACCAGTTGTTAGTAATTCCCATATGAATGATGGTCAAACTGATAATATTGCTAGTGACAACTTGTCTGGTGTCAGCTTATCTTCTGCAGATAATACAAGAAGTTCAGAGGAAATTGCAGAATATGAAGCTGAGAGCAGTTCGATCAATGCTCAAAACCAAACTCATGAACATGTGTCTGATCAACCAACTGAAGCAGCTAGTCAACATCCAATGCGAACAAGGTTGAGAAATAACATTGTACAAGCTAAACAATTCACTGATGGAACTATCAGATATTCAGAAACCTCAAGAAAATTCGCAAGCGCTGTAACTATCACAACTCCGATCATAGAGACTGCTACTGAACCTCGAAACCTGCAGGAAGCCATGCAACATCCAAGATGGAGAGGAGCAATGAATGATGAGCTCTCAGCGCTAAAACGAAATGCCACTTGGGATCTAGTTCCACCCAAACCTGGAATAAATCTCATTGATAGTAAATGGGTGTATAAAGTGAAAAGAAAAGCAGATGGGTCAGTTGAAAGATTAAAAGCAAGATTAGTTGCCAAAGGATTCAAGCAAAGATTTGGTGTTGATTACACTGATACTTTTAGCCCTGTGATCCTATTGACATTGTTAGCAGATGAAAGTTGCTCAAATGTACCCTTACGCAAGTGCCGCATCTCATAGCTCAGCATGTGAGCATACACGTCGCTGACAGTGTATACATCTGTTCTGGTTGTAATGCTTGTGACTAGAGGATCATAATCTGGACCAAGTCCTTGCAGCATGTAGGCGATGAGTTCTTCATCCTCTATTCGCTTGCCAATGGCAGCAAGTGTATCACCAAGATGTTTTACTTTACGAAAGTAGTCAGCAATTGTCATGTCCTTTTTCTGGATAGTAGAGAGTTCCATACGGATCTGCATTGCTCTTGCTCGAGATGTGGAAGCAAATTGTCGCTCCAGCGTAATCCAGGCTTCTCGTGCAGTGGTGATTCCAACCATCGTGCTGAGAACCTCCTCAGTGACTGATGAGTTGATGAGGCTGAGTACCAGCTGGTCCTGGGGGTACCAGACTGTGAACTCAGGGTTGATGATAATTTTGCGATTCCCTGTTTCTTCACTTGGTTCAACGGCGATCGTCTGGCTTGGTGCAGGCATGGATCCATCCACAAAACCAACAAGGTTTTGGCTACGCAAGTAGGGAAGGATTTGGGTAGACCACAGTAGATAATTTTCTTGTGTAAGCTTAACACTAATCACCTGACTGATCGACGGAGAAGACATTGTGTTGTTTGGGATTGACATGTCTAACAGCAGAGGCTATGGATCTCGTGGATCTTATTTCGGCTCTGATACCATATCAAGTTTATGCAAAACTGTGCCTCACACTATTGAGGACATATTCTATTTATATTGGCAAAAGATTAACTAATAGATCCGATTTCATAGGAAACTAACGAAGTAAGCCTATTCTTATGGCATGACTAACTTCAAGCTATTCTAATGGATTGACCAATTCTAACAGTCCCCTTCAATCCCAACAAGTCTTGTACATGTTGAGATTGTTACAATGTGTAGTAAAAGGAGTTTTAGACAGTGGTTTTGTCAGGATATCAGCTACTTGATCACTTGATGAAATGAACCGAACTTCCATTGCTTTACGTGCTACTTGTTCTCGAACAAAATGAAAATCAACTTCAATATGTTTCGTTCTAGCATGAAATACTGGATTTGAAGTTAAATATGTAGCTCCGAGGTTGTCACACCAGAGGCGAGGAGCCTTTGATTGATACACGCCCAGTTCCTTCAGTAATGACTTGATCCAAATCATTTCTGCAGTAAGATTCGCAATGGCCTTGTATTCTGCTTCGGTGCTTGATCTTGACACTGTAGCCTGTTTTCTGGAACTCCATGAGATTAGATTTGCTCCAAGAAATACAGCAAAGCCGCTAGTTGAACGTCGATCATCGGGACAACCAGCCCAATCAGCATCAGAAAACCCCGACAACATCATGGTTGATTTCTGAATTTTCACTCCTAATGCTAGTGTGCCTTTAACATAACGAAGAATTCTCTTCACAGCACCCCAATGAGCATCAGTAGGTGTATGAAGATATTGACACACTTTATTGACAGCAAATGCCAAATCAGGCCTAGTCATTGTCAAATATTGTAGTGCTCCCACTGTACTTCTGTATTTGAATTGTTCTTCAGCTGATAAGGGTATTCCTTGTTCTCTGAATAATTTTTCAGCAGAACCCATTGGTGTAGACATAGGTT